CTCTAGGAGACCTCCTTTTGAGCCCGGCAGAGTGGCCAAACTAGCCAATCATAGCATCAGAACTCTAAGCACCTGAGAGAGAGTGGGCACCTCCCAGAACATTGTTTTGTGCCACGCCCAACAGAAATACTCCAGGTGGACAATTTCAGCAATCAGGAGCTCCTCAGTTGCTCATAGCAAATCCCACCTAGGAGTTTACAAAGACTAAAGCCACACTAAAGTAATTTACTACACCGCAGTTTGCTTTTTCTGTTGGCCCAGGGGTAAGGTCTTTGTCTCCTTTTAACATCTGTGGGTTGGCCTAGCATTCCTTGGAGTTCTCCATGTATCTTTGCATCAGTATTTTCCTGGGTCTAGGAGATTCTCAGACCAGGGACCCAGGTCCAGTGGACGTCTCCTGCTCCCAGTTGTTCTTTCTTGGTAGTAGTAGGTCCTTCTTCCACTCACTTCTTTCTCATTTTATCTCTTATAAGATAAAAGGTAATGCAGACTACATGCCAAGGAAATACACATCGAACCCGAGCAAGGGTGTTGAATCCCATTCTAATCACCTAGAATTACTGGCTGATCACATCAGATCGAATCATGTAGAATGACTACATCATTATATAACTGTCAAATTGCATCACTGCATAACTGCCAAACCAGTGACAATTACAGCCCAGCCACGTTGACACATATTCTGGGGGGCACAGTTCAACCTATAGCAGAAGCCAAAGACAAAGACCAAATTCTTGGCATAAAGTTAACGTAAACTCCACACAAATGGTTATTGTTGTTAGGTGCCATTCAGTTTGTTCTGACTCGGCGATCTTAAGTGAAACAGCAAAAAACTGTCCAGTCCTGCGCTGTCATCACAGTTGTTGGTATGTTTGACATCTTTGCTTTTAACACTTCAAAGAGGTGTTTTGCAGTATATTTGCCCCATGCAATACATTATTTGATTTCTTGACTGCTGCTTCCATGGTTGTTGAGTATGGATGCAAGTAAAATGAAATCCTTGACAACTTCAGTCTTTTCTCCATTTATCATCTTGTCGCTTATTGGTCCACTTGTGAGGATTTTTGTTTTCTTTATGTTGAGGTATAATTCCTGCTAAAGCCTGTAGTCTTTGATCTTCATCAGTAAGGGCATTAAATCCTCTTTACTTTCAGTAAGTAAAGTTGTGTCATCTGCATATTGGACGTGTTTATGAGTGTTCTTCCAGTCCTTATGCCTCATTCGTCTTCATCTAGTCCAGCTTCTTAGATTATTTGCTCAGCTACAGATTGAGTAAGTATGTCGAAAGGATACAAAGGTATCTTTCTTGGTTTTAAACTATGCAGTTACTTGAACAACTGCCTCTTGGTCTTATGTATAGGTTCCTCATTAGCACAATTATATTTTCTGCAGTTCTTACTCTTCAACATTTTATCTGTAATTTGCTATGAGTCACAGAAATGGTAGTTCCATTAAAAGACAGAATTTAAGGATAGATTAATTCATTAGGCTGAAAAAATCCTTCAGCTTCAAATACTAGAAATGCTTACTAGATATTATAAACATCTCTTTAAAGTCCTATAAAGTTCCTTGAGGAGTCCTCATAGTGCAGTGGCCAAATTAGTAGTTTGAACCTTCTAGCCACTCAGTGGGAGAAAGATGTGACACTAGCCCTTACATGAGAGAAAGATGTGGCAGTCTGCTTTCGTAAGATTTCCAGCCTTGAAAACCCTGTGTGGTAGTTCTGCTCTGTCCTGTAGGGTTGCTATGAGTTGGAGTCATCTTTACAGCAGTAGGTTTGGTTTTCTTGACTTAAAGAAATAGGAATCTTTAAAATAAATTAGATGTAATTATTTTTAAAAATTAAAATCAAATGCACTTGACTGCTAACCAGAAGGCTGGCGGTTCAAACCCAC